AGATTGGGCCCATGTGGATGTGGGTGGGCTGCTGCATTTGCCAAAAGCTGACGTGGGAGAATCTTATACAGATCATTATCATAATAATAATAAAAAAAGTAAGCAAATTTTGTAATAGGATTCGCGATCAATTTCAGGGTATTCTACCCGTTAATTCGAAGACGATCCATTTCATAATAGTGTCATGAGCTCTCAATCTGACCTGTTAATTAAATAAATTATATGTGTTAACTTATTTAATAATTTATTTATCAAAATCAGACATTATATTATTTAGATCGAATATAATATTCAATCAAACAATAAATATTACAAAAAAAACATATACATTAGTTAAAGGGTTAATATATATTTTGGTTAGAGTTTATGTTGAATGACCTAGTTATACATAACAATTAGGTCTAATTAGATAATGAGTTAGTTATACAAGCAATATTGACACAATTATGAAACTTTTAATTAAACAAGTATAAATAGATTACACGTGTTGAAACCCTTAACTCTAGCACGATATGATTAATTAAACGAATTAGTCATGTTGATCGATTTATGACCCAAACCCATTTAAGAAAAATTCAAACTCATTTATCTCGTGTCGAATTTTAATCGTGTTGATGGGTCGTATTGGCACTTCTAAAATTTTTGTCTCAAAAAAATACATATGAGAGAACCATAGAGGATTAAAAACAGACGCATTTTAAAAATCAATTTTAAGGACTTTCAGTGCATGAATTTTCAGTGAGATCTAAAATGAAGAATCTTAAAATACATAAATTCTTGATGTACTTTTGTTGTCATCTGAAAACTCATCAGGACCTTAATAAGTTGACCATTCTTGCGTGAAGTAAATAGGAAGAATGGACAATTTTCGCATGGACACATGCATGTATTGAGTTTATTTATTTATTTTATTTTTTGCCAAGAAAATAATAATAATAATAAGGGATTAGAGTTTGGGATTAAAAGAATTTCTTATCCTAGCTCAATTTGAATAAAGGGTGCTAAGTATTTTATGGTCCATTTAAAAAAAAAAAAATAGTTTAGTGATGTCTTTCTTGCCTAATAGGGTTTGAGATCCATAGAAACAAATGGGTGTATCAGTTTTTTGTCAAGGGAGGGAAAAAAAATTATGGCTTATCTTAATATTAATTAAAAAAAACTACCATTTTCTTATTGTGATTGCACTCTAAAATTTTAAATAATTAAATAAATCTCTTACCCTACTAAATAATCTACCAAATATCCATAAGTGATTTCAAGGAATAAAATATATACCTGTTAAGGAATTAAATATTATCTTAACTTATATCTTAAATTTCTTTGGATCGAACCAAATGTTAAGTAAGTGAGATATTGGGGCATCGACATCGTCTTGGGGGGGGGGGGGTGTCGTGAGAAGGAGTACTTGAGAATTATTGACGGTAAGTTTACCGTCCCTAAAGCCAATTTTTATTTATTTTATTTCTATTTTAAAAAATTCTTATTTTAGTAAACTAGTGGCGAAATGTTCCCGGGAGAAATTTGTTTGAGGGAAACTTTTTATTTTTCGCTTTTAGGGACAGTAAGTTAAAGACCGTGCCGAAAAAGGTTTAGGAACACTTTTTCTACTATCCCTAAAAGTATCGTTTGTGCATATAGAGTAATTTTACGAACACTAAATTGTATTTCATCTCGAATCTCAGGTCACTAAAGAGTCCTAGCCTTATTTTGTGTTTATATAATTGTGTTACTTAAATATATGCATATTTTTCTTATCAATTTGTATGAAAATCTTGCTTGATGTCAATACTAGTAGAAAATAATATTACCTTTGTCCCATTTTAGATATTACCTTTCAAGAACTGTGACTCACACCTTCAAGAACTGTGACTCACATTTTTCCGAAGACAACATTTAAAATAAGACCGAGAGAGTATATTAATTAAAAATATTATCAATTAAATATTGACATCATCAAGGGCCTTATAATCTAGTAGTACTTTCTTGCTTTCTAAAATAGTAGGTTGAAGATTATAAAATTCCTGTAGGGACAAGACTGTGCGTGTCAATATAATAATTAAAAAAAAGAATATTATCAATTAAACATTAAAATCTTATTTTTATTAATTTATCCATTTTTAAAATTATACTATCATTACAAGTCGCTTCCTAACTCTATCATTGTATGAACATATTTTGGTTGTACTTGTAGTGTTATATAAATTGGAAAAACACTCTATACCCTTTTTTTTTTTTTTTTTTTTTAATTGCGTAATTGAAGAATCTTTGTAAGCTTTGAACGTATTTGTTGGCCAATGATATGTAGAATTTTGGTGTCTGGCCATGTGGACCAATGGATGTAATAATATTTTTTTTGTCTTAAAAACTTTGTACTCTCCGTCTCAACTTTCTCCATAAATAAAGAGCAAAGTTGTCTCTAGATTCAGTCTTAGTTCTCTGTTTCTTTTTTCACTGTTTCTCCATTTTAAGCCGAAGAAAGACTGGCAACTCATTAGAACTCTATCCCCAACAATGTAAGTCCCTCCCTATCTTGCTCTCCCCGTACATGCATTCAATTTTTTTTTTTTTATTATTATTATTTTTTATTAAGTATATATGTATATATATTTAAATTATCAACAAAGAAAGTAACATTCAATAATTTTCACACTCTCAGCTACACAAATTTACCTTCTAAAAAAAAAAAAATAAAAAAAAAAAAGAAAACACCTTTAACTTTCTAAAGGTATACTTGTCATGGCAACAATTTCATCCTTAATTACGGGGACAAGATAATATTCCTGTAGGGAAATCCATCTATTGTTCTTTCTAAAGAAAATAATAAAAAATATATATATATATTGAAAGTTGGAGACCAAAAGCTTAGATTTGAGAAGCCACCTTCACAGCCCCAAAAGTTGTACAAAAATATTGGCAAAAAAAGGTACTCCGACACTTGCTTAAAAGCCTTTTGAGGGTCCATTGCTTTCCTCAAGGTATTAGTATAATCATACAACGAGATGTCACCTTTTAAGTATCAAGGTTGGGAATGTACTTGTGTCACACCTTCAATCAAACACTTGGTATGCTCTCTGGCCTTACACAGGGCAAAGTTGATGCAGTACAGGTTGCTGATAATTTCGGAGTCCGTTTGGACCCTCAAAAGGCGAAAGGGAGGGTTTTGGGGTAGTTTTTTTACAAGTCGGTCTTGACTCTAGACCTTACTCTCGCAAAATATAGCAACTTCATGCTGATGTAGCTGCTTTACGGCCAAATTCTACCATTTAGGACTCAGGTAACCTTATTACTTTGATTTTTGGTATTTAATATTTATTAGTAATTCAGTTTCTTACCTTATTTTTTACCCAATCTTTGGACAGAGTTTCGTATTGTGCATTTTCCTTAGTTTCTTTATGTTGTTGGGGTTTTTTTAAAAAAAAATATGTGTAGATCATTTTTTCAATTATTAATAATATATAAGATTTGTTTGCAATTTTTTCTTAATGGATTCATTTTTTTTTTCCCTTGCCAACATTAGCTTCCGGCTTCCACTTCTTCAAAAATTATCCTTTAATTCAGCCAAACACTCTCTGCACAAAAGAGACATGGGAACTTAGAGAAATAGTAAATCAATCTCTCTCTCTCTCTCGCTCTCTCTCTCTCTCTATATATATATGTTGCCATAAAAAATGGATGTGTGGGTACTACATGTATGATTTATATGGTCACAGTCTGCTTCTTTTAATAAATTTTCAGAATAGACTTGCTTTTGGGCATGTCTGAATGACCCAATAACATATATGCACAGAAATCTATTAGTAATTCCAGTCTTGGACAAGCCCACGTCAGGATCCATTTAAATTCTTGTAATATACATGTACATAAAGTAATGAAAATTCAATTATTTCAAATTTTTATACCAAATGAATAGTGTAAACAAACAAGAAAGTAAGATTTGGGGATTCAATTCAAATAAAATGCAAGCTTAATCGTAGTAGTAAAATTGCAATTTCACAGAATTGTGAGACATTAAATTACACTTTCACATTACTAAATTTCAAATCAATTAAGGTACCCTAGTACTATTTCTTGCATATGGTAGATTTTATTGCTTAAATGTGATTTTGGTATTGGAGTGAATTGTTCAAAATCTCACTTTCTGCTGTTAAGATTTCTGCTCTGTGCTTTTAGTTAACTCCTCGTAGCCTTTTGTGCACATATCCTGTTGGTTTTGCTTCTTGCTGATTTTTAATTTGTGTGTGTGTGTATGTGTGTGTGTGTGTGTTTTTTTTTTTTTTTTCCTGTTCATAGAATGCTGAGTCCTTTATGGAAATAAAATATATTCTAATTCATAATAGCAAAGACTATGAAAACAAGACAAGAGAGTTAGGTGCAAAGACTACGTATTTTATAGGGGATATTTGTAAGGCAGCTAAGCTAGACAATTGCATTAATATGATATTTTAGCTAAGCTGATTTTTGGCATGTTCTAGATTGATTTGGAGTTTTTTATTTGATGAGCTAAAGTTGTACTTCTAATTGACAACAGAGTCCATTAGAATTTAAATCAGATTTAAAGCTTTTTATATATATTATGTTTTCCAAACTGTATGATTAGTTGTCAAGCTACTAAATCATCCTCTGCCCCGGATATGTCAAAAATGAAATATAAATAAGGTGGATATGTCAAAAATGTCTGCAAGTCATTATAGAATCTTGTCAAAAGGTCTGATTAATTAACCTGTTCATGCATGCTTCATCTGTAATGTGTATCTACATGTCTTTATTGATGTAATGCTAAACATTTCACATATATAATGTGGCAAATAGTGGAATCTTACTTAAAGCATCTTTATTTATAAAACTAAGGAACCATGCATGAAACCTAGAAAATAAATTACACTGAAAATGCTAAGGGATCTTGCAGAACTTCAAGGCTCAACAGCAAAGCATAAATCTGGATAAAAAGCAGTCATACCACTGAGACAAGTGAATTCTCGAACGTGGCTCTACAATTGATGATGGAGTTCCCATTTCTCTCCTTCCCAATTCTTTTCCCATTCCTTCTCTTTCTGTTCATGCTATTCAAAATAGTATCTAAAACCAGGATCAGTTCAACTCCAAAACTGCCTCCTGGTCCATGGAAGCTACCTCTAATAGGAAACGTTCACCAATTTGTTGGATCTCTACCCCATCACTGCCTAAGAGATTTGGCCATGAAACATGGACCTCTGATGCACCTGCAACTTGGACAACTTTCTATTTTTGTCGTTTCTTCAGCAGAAATTGCCAAGGAGGTGATGAAAACACATGACATTGTCTTTGCGAGCAGGCCTTTTCTTCTTGCTGTAAGTATACTATCTGAGAATGACATTGCCTTTGCACCTTATGGGGATTATTGGAGACAACTTCGAAAAATTTGCATACTGGAGCTTTTAAGTGCCAAACGTGTCCAATCATTCCGACCCATCAGGGAAGAAGAGACCTCTAATTTCATCAAATCTATTGCGGCGCATTCAGGATCTTTGATCAATCTCGATGAAAAGGTTTTCTCGTTGACATACAATGTCACTGCAAAGGCGGCCGCTGGTAAGAAATTCCTTGAGCAAGAAGAATTCATATCACTTGTAAAGGAAGCCGTAGATATAGGGGGAGGTTTCACTGTTGCGGATCTCTTTCCTTCAGTTAAATTTCTTGCTTTGATAAGTGGGCTGAGGCCTAAACTTGAAAAGATTCATCAAAAAATTGATAGGATATTTACCAACATCATTGATGAACATAAAGCTAGGAAGGTGGCAACACAGACCGGTGATGGTGAAGCTGATCACGAAGACCTGATAGATGTTCTTCTAAAAGTTCAAGAGAAGGATGACCTTGAGATCCCCTTAACAATGAGAAACCTCAAGTCAGTTCTCATGGTTAGTACATTTACTTTCTGTTTCTACCAATATCAATGAATTAAGTTCCACAAATTATTTTTGCCTCCAGCTGAGCCAAAGTCCAAAACCCTTTTTACGACACCAACATCCACATTGTGTTCAATATGTAATGCTGGTCCAATACCCAAAGTGGCATCTTTAAGGGCAAGCTCTCAGAGTTGCAGAGAGCATAATAGGAGTCCATAAGTCATGATATTGTTATATTCTTTAACTCAATTTCAATGCTATTTCAGGACATCTTCAGTGGCGGGATTGAGTCATCATCTACAACTTTAAGCTGGGCAATGTCAGAATTGATGAAAAACCCAAGAGTTATGGAAAAGGCACAAGCCGAGGTGAGAGAGTTTTTAAGTAAAAAAGGAAGTATTGTCAATGAAGACGATCTCTATGAATTGAGTTACTTAAAGTTGGTTATCACAGAAACTCTGAGATTACACCCTCCTTTCCCTCTATTAATTCCGAGAGAGAGCAGAGAGAGATGTGAAATCAATGGATATGAGATACCTACGAAAAGCCAAGTCATTGTCAATGCATGGGCAATTAGTAGAGATCCTGAAAATTGGACTGATCTAGAGAGCTTTCATCCAGAGAGATTCCTTGATAGTTCAATTGATTACAAGGGGACTTATTTTCAATTTATACCATTTGGTGCTGGAAGGAGAATATGTCCTGGCATGTCGTTCGGAATAGTTAATGTTGAGCTTCCACTTGCAAATTTATTGTATCACTTTGACTGGAAACTTCCCGAGGGAGAGAAGCAAGAAGATCTAGACATGACTGAGACCTTTGGTGCAGCAGTTAGCAGGAAAAGAGATCTGTGTGTGATTCCTATTGCTTATTATCCATTAACTGGTGAATCAGATATTAAGAAAAGGTAGTAGAAATAATTGTTTGGTCACTTTAAATTGGTCAGAAGTGATTGCCAAAGTCTATATGGTCTGTATTGATTGCCAGAAAGCTAAACTGGTAGGTTGACACATTTTTTCAATATTATATATTTCGAAGAGCTCGTTTTCAAAAAAATTATTAGCATCGCTTTTAAGGTACGCTTTTTTTTTTTTTAGACGAATGCCATCGTTTAAGCACCACAATCGTGTTTTCAGGATTGTTGAATATTTTATATTTTTTGTTAGAAGTCTAAACGGACTCGAATTATTCTGGTATTTAGTATTATTTAGGTGTTACATTTCATATTATATTTAGTTGAATTTTGGGCTTATTTATAGCCTTTCTTATGTTGTTAATTTCTTTATGCTGATAAGTTTCGTTATAGTATTAGGTTTTGTATATTATATATAGGGCTTAAATCATAAAACCCTTGTTACTTTCATTTTTTGATCATAAAACCTCAACTAGTTTGTAAAAATCCCAACAATATTACAATGTTATCATTTTACCCCAATTCTGCTATATTGGTCCGTTAACCTAGCGCGTAGTTAACAATGGCTTTGGCAATGTGAATTTTGTGACGAAAATACCCCTGGAGTAACATGTGCGAAACAAGTGCTATAAATTTATATGTGTTATTCCGAAAATACATCAATATATAATTCATATATATATACACACACACACACACATTACACACACACACACACGGATTTATGGATCGGAAAAAACCCAAAAGTCAAAGAGGATAATATTGTAATTTGCAAAATATGAATTTTTGTTTTTTAAATAAAGTGGAATATCATAAGGGTAATTTAGTCATTTCACAAACCCGTAACGATTCATTGACAGAATTGGGATAAAATGACAATGTTGTAATATTGTTGGGGTTTTTATAAACTGGTTGGGGTTTCATGATACAAAAAATTAAAGTAGTGAGGGTTTTATGATTTAAGCCCTTAGAACAAAATTATGCATTGATTAATAATATTATCCGAGTTCTCTTTGCTTATACTTTGTGAATTTAAAATTGTTTATTGCTCATTTATGAATATTCATATCTTCCGCTTTGTCAGCCATCCATTGTTCAATTTTCCATTTCAGTGTCAGCCTGTAATGTTATTAGTTTATAAATATTAAGAATCATATGTTATGTTAATGTGTGTGTATATATATCTTACAATGTTGAAAAGTAAAATAAGGTGGTTTTTAATCTCTGAAGCTTTGCTCTTCGTTTAAGTTTAATGAACCTCTGAAAGAGTTAAACTCCAAAAAAAAAAAAAAAAAAAAAAAAAAAAAAAAAAAAAAAAAAAAATCAGCCATGGTACTAGAGCCATAAGATCTTCTCATTAATCATTGGATTGAAATGTATTTAGAGATTTATGAATATAGATAAATTTAACAGAATTTTATCATATGCTTAATAAAGAGAGCTCGTCACTATTGTCAAGTGAGTGAATGTCGGGAACATTAACTCATTCCAACTAGCTTTGATACCAGTTGTGGAAGAGATATTACAAGTAGAGAAGGTACTCGACCCATCCCATAAGAAGTCTATGTCTATCTACTAGCGAACCTCACCGGCTCTTTTTGGGTTAGAGCTAACCCGCTCTTGATTTATGGTTCAGAGCAAACCCACTTTTTTATGAGGCTACATCCCTCTGCACTGACTCACTATCTTCTCTCTTCACCAACTCCAACCCTTTTTCTTCTCTCCGCCTTATAGTCTTCAGCACTTTCCTTCTTGAATAAGGATTACCATACTTAGATTAATAGTTTATCCAAACATCAAACGTAGGTTTTGGGATTCATATGCAAGATTAATTCAAATAGTAAAATTGCCATTACACAGAATTGTGATACATTAAATTGGAACAATTTTGAATATTTTCTTAAATTTTCATTTTTTCAGAATTAAAAAGGAAACAAAATCTAAAATGAAAATTATATGAAGGAAAACCTGATTTTTTTTTTTTAGATTTATATTAAGGGGCTTTTCCGTCATTATAACATCACTTAAATGGTGTGTAATTTTCTTAAAGTCCTATTCTTTAAAAATTATGAAGGAAAAGAAAATCATTTTAAGAAAACCTGAATTTTCTCAAATATATATATTAAGGGCCATTTTCATCATTATAACACCACTTTGCAACAATAGAATAGTTTAGCGGGTTTTAGGTCAAAAAAAAAAAAAAAAAGAAAAAAAAAAAAATTGGGTGGATTTTGTGCCAAAAATTGAAAGTAGAGAGGGTTTTATGCCATTTGCCCTATTATTTGTTTTCAACTGCTTCATCGGATGCTGTATTTTGAAGTCAACCTAAAGCATCTTCATTCATTAAACAAAATTTAAAATACATCCTTCTACACTCACTCTCTCTCCTCTCTTCACCAACTCCAACCCTTTTTCTTCTCTCAACCTTCTCCACCTTATAGTCTTCAACACTTTCCTTCTTGAAAAGGATTCCCTTACTTAAATTAATAGTTTATCCAAACATCAAACCTAGATTTTAGGATTCATATGCAAGATTAATTCAAATAGTAAAATTGCCATTACACAGAATTGTGATACAATTGGAACAATTCTTAATATTTTCCTAATTTTTCATTTTTTAAGAATTAAAAAGGAAACAAAATCTAAAATGAAAATTATATGAAAGAAAATCTGATTTTTTTTTTAGATTTATATTAAGGGGCATTTCGGTCATCATAACATCACTTAAATGGTGTGTAATTTTCTTAAAGTTCTATTCTTTAAAAAATATAAAGGAAAAGAAAATCATTTTAAGAAAACCTGAATTTTCTCAAATATATTTATTAAGGGACATTTTCATGATTATAACAGCACTTTGCAACAATAGAATAGTTTAGGGGATTTTAGGTGAAAAAAAAATAAAAATAAAAAATTGGGAGGATTTTATGCCAAAAATTGAAAGTGGAGGGGGTTTTATGCCATTTGCCCTATTATTTGTTTTCAACTGCTTCATAAGATGCTGTATTTTGAAATCAACCTAAAGCATCTTCATTCATTAAACAAAGTTATCAAACCAAAATTTAAAATACATAAATCTGGAAGAACTACAATCTTACCATTGAAAACAGCTAAACAAGTGATCTCAACACAAAGTGATCCCATTCCCTTCCTTCCCAATTCTTTCAGCTTTCTTGCTCTTTCTGTTCAACATCTGAGGAGTTCAAAGGCCTTACCTTTTCTTCAACCCTCTTTGTACTCTGTTTACTCTTCCTCTGTTTCTCAGACACTCTCCAAAAAAAGTCATGGGAACTCAATTTGCAAGTAACTAGAACTACATCCTCAACAATGTAAGTCTCTCTCTCCATCTTTCTCTCTCTACATGTGTGATTTATATGATCATTACATATATGCACATATATCTACAGGTCATGCTATGTATCAGCTAAGCACATTTTTGGCATGTTGTAGATTGATTTGGAGTTTTTGTTTTGAAAGCTAAGGGTTTAATTACTTCTAATCGACAACAAAGAATCAATCCAGATTTAAATAAGATCAAAGCATTATATATTATGTCATCCAAACTGTAACTGTATGATTAATTATCAAGCTACTAAATCATCTTCTGCTCCATCAATATGTATCATGTTCGAAAGATTTCTCTATTTCTTATATTGTAGAAGCAAGTGATGCAGATAGAAGATGATATTTGAAGGTGGATATGAAATATATAAAAATAAGGTTTATCTATCTTATTTGAAGTTGGATATGTCACAAATATCTGCAAGTCATTAAAGAATCTTGACAAAAGGTCTGATTAACCTATTCATGAATGCTTCATTTGTATCATGTATCCAATTGTTTTTCTTGATTTATTGCTTAACATTTCACATATTTAATGTGACAAATAATGGAATCAACTAAGAAACTATGCATACAACCTAGAAAAGATTACTGAAAATGCTAAGAGGATCTTGCAGAACTTCAACGCTCCACAGCAAGCATAAATCTGGATAAAAAGCAATCATACCACTGAGAGAATTGATGATGGAGTTCCCATTCCTCTCCTTCCCAGTTTTTTTCACATTTCTGCTCTTTCTGCTCATGGTATTCAAAATAGTATCTAAAATGAAGATCAGTTCAACTCCAAAACTGCCTCCTGGGCCATGGAAGCTACCTCTAATAGGAAACATTCACCAATTTGTTGGATCTCTACCCCATCACTGCCTAAGAGATTTGGCCATGAAACATGGACCTCTGGTGCACCTACGACTTGGACAACTTTCCATCGTTGTTGTTTCTTCAGCAGAAATTGCCAAAGAGGTGATGAAAACACATGACATTGTCTTTGCTAGCAGGCCTTTTGTTCTTGCTTCAAATATCATATGTGAGAGCGACATTGCCATGGCACCTTATGGGGATTACTGGAGACAACTTCGAAAAATTTGCATACTGGAGCTTTTAAGTGTCAAACGTGTCCAATCATTCCGACCTATCAGGGAAGAAGAGACCTTGAATTTGATCAAATCTATTTCAACGCATACAGGATCTCTTATCAATCTCAGTGAAAAGCTTTTATCGTTGACATACAGCATCACTGCAAAGGCCGTCATTGGTAAGAAATTCCCCGGGCAAGAAGAATTCATATCACTTGTCAAGGAAACCATAGAGATAGGAGGAGGTTTCAATGTTGCTGATCTATTTCCTTCAGTTAAAATGCTTGCTTTGATAAGTGGGCTGAGGCCTAGACTAGAGAAGATTCATCAAAAGCTTGATCAGAAATTAACTAGCATCATTGATGAACATAAAGCTAGGAACGTGGCAACACAAACTGTTGATGGTGAAGTTGATCGCGAAGACCTTGTAGATATTCTTTTAAAAGCTCTGGAGGAGGGTAATCTTGAGATCCCCTTAACCATGACAAACGTCAAGTCAGTTACCTTGGTTAGTACATTTACTTTCTTTCTGCTTTTATCAATATCTTTTTTCCTAGTTTACTTTCTGCTTTTATCAATGTCAATGAATTAAGTTTCAACAAATTATTTTTACCTCCAGCTGATCCCAAATCCAAAACCCTTTTTACATACTAAAACTTAGTTTGAAACATTTGATCTTCTAACATCAACATCCACATTGTGTTCAATATGTAATACTGGTACCACAATTAAAGTGGCATCTTTAAGGGCAAGCGTGCAATGAGATTTGCAGAGAGCTTAATAGGAGTCAAAAAATCATGATGTTGTTCTATATTCTCTATTATTTAACTCAATGTGAATGCTCTTCCAGGATATGTTCCTTAGTGGGATCGAGACATCATCTACAACTTTAAGCTGGGCAATGTCAGAATTGATGAAAAATCCAAGAGTCATGAGAA